AGGCGGCGGGGCGGCCGCGGCCCGCGGCTCCCTCCCCTTTTCCCGTCCCTGCTCTGGGGGTGCTACCTGCCAGCCTGGCCAGGACCGGCGCTCGGCTCCCCTGTCACTGGCGGTCCTCCTCCCCCCGGGGATCAGCGGTCGACGGCTGACCCGTCTCCCGGCAGGGTGCAGCCTCGGGGAATATCGCGGACTAGGCGAAAAGGAAGCGGAGAGGATGGAGACATCCACGAGGAAAGCCAAGGCCAGGTGGGTTAGGTGCCTCCGCTCCCCGCAGGAGAGCAAAGGGTCTTCTGGGGACCACGACACCAGCCTGCCGAGCGGCAGAACCACGCAATTTTGGCAGAAAATTACATTATTACAGTGAACGGGAACCCAAGGACAGTTCCTGTACGTCATCTCTTCTAGCGACCTGGTAGGGCTTCCGAGTGGGCGCTCCTCAGGCACAGAATGAGATTAGTTTGTCAAAAATCCCAGTTACTTACCTGAAAAAATATACTGTCACCCTGACACATCCATCCCTGTAGGTCTTCTCCTTCTATTGGAAGAGACGGTTTATTTGTGCATATGCCTGCACATACAGAAGAATCCTTTGCAGAGAAAGGCCTGCAGGAGAAAACGAAGAGGAAATACATGCTAAGAAGATGAGTAGGATACATTCAACATGATTAGAATTTAAAACACGTTTGACAAATTGGAGAAATGGCCTGACATCAACAAGACAATTTCAAGTGAAGAGTAGTGAAAAGTGCTACAGTGAGGAAGAAGAATTCAGTTGTACAAATTCAGGTCAGGGAACAACAGGTGACGCAAGAGGCTTGGCCTTAGCTATGACAAATCAAACATGCTTCAGTTTGTGGATGGGAGTTGTTCAACTATCACACAGATTTAGTCTAGGACACTAAGTATTAGAAATCTTAACAGGTTTTAGTATTTCTAAGAAAGGACTTGCAGCTGACCTAGCTAGGGTTTCAGCTTCCCTAAAAATAGTGAGAATAATTGTTTAATGAAGTATTTGTGCCAAGGAGTGGAAACCAGATGCCTACACATAGACATTGGCTCCATTTTAGGTAACTGCGTATCTCCTGCAGCCTCCAGCTGCGGATTTTGCACAGGACTGGATGGTTGATCACACAGGACCAAGTGGATATCTCAGGCACCTTAGGACTCTCCCACATGGGTCAAGATGTCCGTGCTTAGGCAACTAAATACTACCCTAGAAGTGTGATAAACCACAATTTTAATTGCATGAAATGCATGTGTGTTCTCTAATATATTCTCAAAAACATTTTAAAAAAAGACTTTTTCAAAGAACAAGTTTTGAGAATGTGTTCAGGATGTGTTTGCTATCCCGCTCTGCTCTCTGTTCTCTGTCACCTCTCTTACCATTTTCGGCTTATCCTTCACAGACACACAGATTTCCATGCATAACACAACTCTTCAGTCGTGCACCCTTTTACTTGTCTTTGAATTGGGTGGTGATGCGTTCCAGCTGAAGAATGGCATTGTTCCAGCTGTTTGTTACCATAAAGGAGCTGAGCAGTTTATTTGGAATGAAAGGCAGCCTGGCCCATTGCAATTAAAAAATGAAAGGCCTCAGTAGATAAAACTGGTCTACCAACACCTTCCTGGTTTGCAAGATTTATGTTTCCTCTTCAGAAAACGTGGGTTAAAGAAACCATAGTTCAATGCTTTATATGATCCGAGAAGTCTGTTCTTTTTCACTGGGTAAAATACTGTAGATAAAGTCAGTACAATGGGAGGAGTTATTGAACTGAAACTTCCAGAGGAAAGCAGTCATTGCGGGCTTTTATCAGGGCGGTCTTGGCAGAGCTTATCCACAAAACACAAGTTCACAGACACTCTGGGTTGCTTCTCCCCCAAACTAGCTAGAAAATGGCATTTTTCAAGCAGAGTTCATTGCATACGTTCATTGCATAAGCAACAATTTTCTTTTTAGAATACAGCAGCTATATTACTTTTTTACTAAATAAGGTCCAATTTTCCAGTAAGGTAAGGGTGTGAGATTGGGTCCTCTGAGCACACTGGTTCCTTTGTCTCACGTATTTAATGTGTATGAGATAGCCACGAGAATGGTACGTTGCACACTTACACTGCAGCTGTCAGGACGACTTTATTTCTTCACATCCTTCTGCTCTTCTGCCTGTCACTCCCCTGTTTCTCTCAGCCTCTTGCTATCTACTCTCCTACTCTCCAGACTGCTCTCCTCTTACGAACAGCCTTCTGGCACACATGGAGCCATGTCAGGTGAACAAGGACTCGTCCAGAAAGACACACAGGGTGTACCAGTGTTGTGGTTTAACCCCAGCCAGCAACGAAGCACTATGTAGCTGCTCACTCACTTCCCCCCCCGCCAGGGGGAGAGAATCAGAAGGACAAAGATAAAACTCATAGGTTGAGATAAGAACAGTTTAATAGAATGGAAAGGAAGAAACTAATAATGATAATAAAATGACAATACTAATAAAAGAATTGGACTACACAAAACAAGTGATGCACAATGCAATTGGTCACCACTTGCTGACCGACACCCAGTTAGTTCCCAAGTGATCCCCCCCTTAGCCCCACTCCCCCCAGTTTATATACTGGGCCTGACATCACATGGTATGGGATACCCCATTGGCCACTTTGGCTGTGTCCCCTCCCAACTTCTTGTGCCACTCCAGCCTTCTTGCCGGCTGGGCATAAGAAGCTGAAAAATCCTTGACTTGGTCTAAACACTACTTAGCAACCACTGAAAACATCAGTGTTATCAACATTCTTCTCATACTGAACTAGAAAACATAACACTGTACTACCAGCTACTAGGAAGACAGTTAACTCCATCCCAGCCGAAACCAGGACAAACAGTCACTTTGCTAACAAAGGTTGTTAGAATCGGTGTGGGGAGGTGTGAAGCGGGAGCCTGTTACCTGCCAGGCCCACAGACACGATCAGCAGCTGCCATCTCGAGGTGCTCTCAAACCCTGCAAGTGTCAGTCATTCTGCCTGCAAGCGCTGCTGGGTGCTTCCTTTCCTGGCACTGGCGTGAAATACTCCTTTCTCTAAACAATCCCCAAAATGCATTAGTTAAAAACAAAACCTAACAGCACTAGGTGGAGAGCAAACAGAGCGGGGCCCTCAAATACCAGTGCCCGGTTCAGGTACAGAGGGGTGTCAAGGCAGTACGGAGCAGCCTCCGGGCTGGCATGTGCTACGCGGCGATGAGAGCTGTTCTCTCTCCGCGGGGTTTGGACTCTTTCACAGATTCACAGAACCCTTTAGGTTGGAAAAGACCTTTAAGATCATGGAGTACAGCCGTTAACCTACCAGTGCCAAGTCCACCACTAAACCGTGTCCTCAAGCACCACATCTACGCGTCTTTTAAATCCCCCCAGGGACGGGGACTCAACCCCTTCCCTGGGCAACCCGTTCCAGCGCTTGACAACCCCTTCGGTGAAGAGATTTGTCCTAATGCCCCATCCAAACCTCCCCTGGCGCCGCTTGAGCTTGTGGGATTTAAGTGTCCCACCTGCTCCCTACAGCTTTGAGACACGCCCCCCCC